AGCCTGCCCTTGGCCCATAAAAGCTGCAACCACTTCCTAAATAAATGAGACTTGATTGGACTCAACTTGTCTCAATCTCTATCTCCCACCCTGTTTTTTTTCATCCCCATTCCCCCTCCAGGTATACCCCACAGATTGATCTGCGGGCTGGATCAAGTGGTGCCCAACATGGGGCCTCCTGGCATGGGGGAGTTAATGAGGGAGCCGTTCAAAAACGCCAGCTAAAAGTGAAAACAAATTAAATCAAGGACCGAGGCTAAAAGTAAAATTAAAGTAAATCAAGGCCGAGGCCTGTGCAAGTGAGGGCCTGACGTGCCGCCCAAGTCACGGTGAGTGAACAGTAACCCTATCCCCTCTTTCCCCGACATGGGTCAAGCATTGAGCAAACATAAATTGTTCGTGGGAAACCTTAACAAGGCATTAAAGACAAGAGGGGTAAGGGTTAAAACAAAAAAATTGTTACAGTATTTTCAGTTTATCCATATAGTGTGCCCTTGGTTCCCCCTAGAGGGCTCTATAGATACCAAGAGGTAAAAAAGAGTAGGAGATGCTCTAAAAGATTTTTATAGGGTTTTTGGTCCTAAAAAGGTTCCGGTGACCACCTTTGCATACTAGAATTTAATCTCTGAGCTGCTTACTCAGCAGCATGCAGACCCTCAGATTAAAGAGATGGTTGCACAGGGTGAGGCTGCCCAGCGCAACTCCCTTAATCCTACCCCAAAACCATCCTCAGAAAAACCTAAAGCCTCTGATCTCTCAGACACAGAGGCTGATGGCCTGTTAGAGGTCCTCTAAGATGGCGATCTGCCACCACTTCCTCCTGTCGACATGACTGACCTGTTCCAAGATGATGGCCCACCACCCCCCATGCCTCCACGGCCAATTGGAGATTCATATAAGTCTTTATACCCCGACCTCTCTGATTTTCAAGAGGTCGACTGGGAACACGTAGCACAGCAAGCCTCTACATACCACCCTGACCCTGTTGCGGCACTGGCCGCCATTAAGCCACCCCCTGGCTATGATGATACATTTAGCATCTGCCCTCAACCTTCTAACACGCTAGCGGAATTAAAACAAAAAAAAAGAGATTTTTTAAAAACAGATACAGCTAAAAAAATGCCAAAATTTTTCAACTCAATTGCAGGCCCTCCGAGCTACACAGCCTTATAGTTCTCCTAAGATGGCACCTACCTCCGGCAAGCCTCATGGTGCTCTTAAAATGGCGCCTGCATCTGGCAGCCAGCCCAAAATGGTGTTCCCAGTCACAGAGGCTGTTGTTCCCCCACGGGATGTTAAAGAGGACATTAAACCACGAGCGGTTACAATACACACACCTCTCACCATGACAGCCCTAAAAGAGTTAAAGGCCACAGTCTCTCAATATGGCCCGACTGCCACCCATACTATTGTAGTTCTAGATTCTTTGACTCAGGGTTGGATTATTCCTAATGAATAAAAAGACTTAGCAAAAGCCACCCTCTCCGGAGGCAATTATCTATTATGAAAATCTGAATTTTTTGATCAATGTGAGGGCATAGCCAGAGATAACACCACATGGTAAAACCCCTGGACCCTTGCTATGCTTACAGGAACAGGAGATTTTGCCACAAAGAGACCCAAATGCGGTTTGATTTGGGCCTCTTTACACAGATTAACGTGACAGCCACTAGAGCATAAAAACGGCTCCCCTCAGGAGGTGAGCCTACCTTGTCTCTCACCCAAATAAAACAAAAGCCTGAGGAGCCCTTTTCAGATTTTGTCGATCGCCTCCTACAGGTGGTAGAGCATCTTTTCGGCTCCACAAAAACAAACTCTGCCCTAGTCAAACAATTGGCTTATGAAAATGCAACCTCAGCTTGTCAAGCTACAATTCGACCACATCACAAAAAGGAGGACCTATCGGGTTATATTCGCCTATGCGCAGATATTGGGCCTGCTTATCATCAAGGCCTAGCCATGGCCGCCACACAACAAGGTTGCACAGTTAAACAGCTCCTCTTTCGTCCTAAAAAAGATATTGCTTGTTTCAAATGTGGCCAAATTGGCCACATGGCTCGTGATTGCAAAAGTAAAAATCAAAATCAGTCCTCTACAAAAAAAACCAGCGCTATGTCCCAGATACAAACAAAGAGACCACTGGGCTAATGAATACAAATCCAAAAGGGATGTTCACGATAACCCTCTTCCCCCACAGGGAAATGGGACACGGGGCCAGCCCCAGGCCCCCAATTCCAGACAAACCCCTGGGGCTCCAAGGTTTGTTCCAGCACAAAACAATCCATTTCAGACCTCTTCAAGGCAACCCCAGGGAATACAGGATTGGACCTCTGTTCCACCTCCAACACAGTATTAACCCTTGACGTGGGTGTCCAGGTCATCCCCTCAAAAATCTATGGACCCCCTCCCCCCGGGACTTTTGGACTGATTGTTGGACATAGTAGCACTACACTTAAAAGATTGCAAGTTCTGCCCGGGATAGTAGATAGTGATTACACAGGGGAAATAAAAGTCATGGCTTCTCCCCTTGTTGGTGTCATACCAGTCAGGGCAGGACAACGCCTTGCTCAATTGCTGCTATTGCCGTTGGCTCAAACGTCTAACAAATCCAAAACTCCCTATAGGGGGAACTCCCTTCCTGGGACTTCAAATGTATATTGGGCCCAACATATCTCCACAAAAAAGTCCCTCATGACTCTGTATTTCGATAAAAAATGTTTCTCAGGCCTCATTGATACGGGCACAGATGTTACCATTATCAAAAAGGAGGAGTGGCCTACTCCCTGGCCTTTAAAAACAACTTTAACACACCTCCAAGAGATTAGACAATCAAAAAATCCACAACACAGTTCCAAACAACTGGTTTGGAGAGATCAAAAAGATAATCAGGGACACTTACAACCTTATGTCATTAAAGACAATCTGTAATCTTCAACTAGTGATTTCCTACTGTTTATTTTTTCTTTGAAATTATGTATTATTTCTACCCATTTTCTGTTTTGTTTAGTCTTTCTTTAAGTTAAATTTTTTAAAAAGGCACTATAGTACCCAGTGCTGATCACAGTGTCATGATGTGAAATCCAGCAATACTATTATTCTTTGTTCAGAATGATTTTAACCTGCTTTAGTTTGTTTAATCTAAACATAAATAAAGATATGGATAACTGCATGTATATTTAGGTATATAGGATTGACAACCATGCTACTAAGTTTTTGTTGGACAGTTGAACAGAACTGTTTGCAGTCTCGCTGTTTGAATTCCCACTTTACATATTCCACTCCTGTACCTTGAACAACTATTTGTAAAATGACAATATGTAAACATTAACTTGTGATTTCTTACTATTAAAAAAAATGTTCTGAAGGATATTCTAGAAAGAGATAATCAGGACCACAGCTCCATGAACCCCAACAGAATGAATCACCTGGAAAGGCAAACAATGAGAAGAAGGTGGGGCAGGGGAAAGCCAATAACAGGACAATAATATGACAAGGATAAGTCAATGCATTTCAGTTATAAGTATCAATGTTAATAGTTTTAATTCACCAGTTAAAAGACACACTTTGGCAGGATGGATCAAGAAGCAAAATCCAACAATATGCTGCATACAAGAAACACATTTAATTCAAAAAGAAATTCATAGGAGTCAGGGATTTAGCTCAGTGTCATAAGCGCCTGCCTGGCAAGCATGAGGTTGTAAGTTTGATTCCCAGTACCAAAATAAATAAATAAAAATAAACAAATAAAAAAAGAAATTCATAAACTGAAAGTCAAAGGATGGAAAACAATATCCCATGCAATAGGAATCCAGAAACAAGCTATTGTATTTGCAGATAAAGTGAATGTCAAGCCAAGACTGATTAAGAGAGATAAAGGAGGTCTACATCATCCTCATAAAGGGAACAATCCAAGAGGAAGAGATAACAATCATGAATATATATGCAGCAAGTACCAGTGCACTCAGCTATATAAAACAATTACTAATGGACATGAAAAATCAAATATGCACTAATATAATTGTATTGGGAGACCTCAATAACCCACTGTTGCAAAAAAACAGATCAACTAGACAAAAAATCAATAATAAAATATTAGAACTAAATCAAACTTTTGAACAAATGAACCTAACAGATGTCTATAGAGTGTTCCACCCACATCAGAATACACATTCTTTTCAGCTGCACATAGTACATTCTCCAAAACAGACCATACACTGGCACATAGAACATGCTTAAGTAAATGTAGAGGAAATGAAATTATCCCATACATACTATCAGACCACAGTGCAAAGAAATTGGAAATCCATGCCACAGGAAACCACAAGAACTTCATCAACACATGGAAATTAAATAGCATCCTACTGAACAACCAATGGGTCACAGATGAAATTAAAGAAGAAATTAGACAGTTTTTACAGTTGAATAATAATTACAATACAACGTACTGAAACTTGTGGAACACAATAACAGCAGTCTTAAGAGGCAAATTTATAGCAGTAAATGCTCATAACAGGAAAATAGAGCAAGAGCATATAAACAGGGGCTGGAGATTTAGCTCAGTGGCATAAGCACCTGCCTTACAAGTGTGTGGTTGTGAGTTCGATCCCCGGCACCAATAAAAAAGAAAAAGCAAAAAAAAAGGGCATATAAACAACTTAATGTTGAGCCTCAAATTTCTAGAAAAAGAAGAGCAGGCTAAATCAAAAGCTCATACAAGGGAGGAAACTATAAGGATCAGAGCAGAAATTAACACACCAGAGGCAATACAAAGAATCAATGAATAGAGGCCAGGGATTTAGCTCAATGGTGTAAGCACCTGCCTGGGAAGTGCAGGGTCATGAGTTCAATCCCTGGTACAAAACAAACAAACAAAAAAAGAATCAATGAATCACAGAGTTGGTTCTTTGAAAGGTTAAATAAAATTGACAAACCTTTAGCCAATCTTATCCAAAAAAAAGAAAGACAAAACTCAAATCCATACAATTAGGAATGAAAAGGACCTAGCCCTGAATCAAGGCTGGCAGCTTCCTGACGCTGTTGGTTTCAAGCCTAAAGAGATGTCTTTCTATGGTCTGTTGGCTACTTCAGAACTTGGGCAGTGAAATGGTCAATTCATTAGAAAGAAACAGCTTGAAGCAACCCCTGCCCCTCCTGGTGAATGGCTGTGAGCGTGGCAGGCTGTGGCGAGGCTGTGGGGGAAAAGAAACCTTTGTCTACTGTTGGTGGGAATGCAGACTGGGACAACCACTGTGGAAATCAGTGTGGAGATTCCTCAAAAAACTAGGACCAAAGGTCCCATTCAACACAGCTATTCTTCTTCTGGGTATCTTCCCAAAAGAATTAAAAACATCATACCACAGTAATATATGTCCACCCATGTTTGTAGTAGCACAGTTTATAACAGCCAGATCTAGGAAACAACCTAAATGCTTCTCAACTGAGGGATGGATAAAAAAGATGTGGTATTTTTATACAATGGAGTACTACTCAGCCATAAAGAAGGATAAACTTTATAGTAAATGGGTGCACCCTGAGAACATACTCACTAGTAAAATAAATAAGACACATACATGTAAACATCATATTGTTTCATGAGTATAACAAGCTGAAAGAAAAAACATGTATATATGTATATATATGTACCTAAAATATTTAAGATAGTTATACTACTGATTTCTCTGAGCTCACTGAAGAAAGATTTGTACTGGTAGTGTTCAGGTGATTGAAGGCAGATGTGCTCTGGGTGAATGATTTGGGGATGACAATGCACAAAGTATATACCAGTTTTACCCGTTGATTGACGTACTTCAAAATTTTGTTGTAGTTTTTTTTCCTTCTTTTTTCTTTCTCTTTATGAATAAAATGCTTTTAAAAAATAAGCTAGAATTTTGTGGCCAAAAGAATGGAATATGGGCTGAGTTACAGCTCCATGATAGAGTATTTGCCTAACATGTGTGAGGCCCTAGTTCCATCTCCAGCCCTGTAGAAAAATGAGGATGAGGGCCAGGGATTTAGCTCAGTGGCATAAGTGCCTACCTGGCAAGCACAAGGTCGTGAGTTCAATCCCCAGTTCCACAAAAAAAAAAAAAAAAATGAGGAGGAAGGAGAAGGAGGAGGAAATATAAATCTGAATAGTTTCTAAATTTAATTCCCAGTACACAGGGAAAAAATATAGGACAGAGGAACATCTTAAATGATATCCTGGGGATACAAGCAGCCTAGTCCAAAGTATAACAGTGCACAAGACAAATAACACAGTTCTCTAACACATAAATCACAAGAGAAAAAGAGAGAATCTATAGATTTTTTAAAAACTGGAAGACAAGCATGGTGTCACATGCCTATAATCCCAGCATTCAGGAGGCTGAGATACGAAGATTTCTATGAATCCAATGGCAGTCTTGGCTACATAGTAAATTCAAGGCCAGCTTGAACTACAGAATGAGACACTTTATAAAAAACAAAGAAGAAGAAAAAGAAAACAAACTGGAGAGATGTATTAGTCAAATGCATCATGATTCAAAGAAACTGACTATAAAGACAAATTCATAAAACAACTAGAAAAACTGAATTGCCAGGTGTGGTGATGCATGCCTGTAGTCCCTGCACTTGAGCAGCTGAGGCAGGAAGATTGTTGCAAGTTCAAGACCAGCCTGGGCTACAAAGTGAACTCAAGGCCAACCTGAACTGCATAGCAAGACCCTGTTTCAAAAAGACAAAAAAAAAGCCTTGAATTATGACTGGGTATTTGCTGAGATTAGGAAGAGATCATTGAGTTGGGAATGTAGCTAGCATGTGTGAAGCTTCAGGTTCAATCCCCAACACCACAAAAACAGAAGAAAAGAAAAAGAAGAAGAAATTGTTATCTATTTAGATGTAATTAGGATCAAGGTTAATCAAAGCCCTTACATCTTAGTAACACATACTGAAACAAGGATGATGGAATAGAGGGGTGTCTGAGATTTGTTTCTGTGAGAAGTAGGAGGGAGACAGATGAAACTGAACTGGATACCAGTTGTTAACAGTCATGTCAGCAATGGGAACATGGGGATTCATTAGACTATTCACTCTACTTTTTGAAGTAAATTAAAATTTTATATACATATATACTGGCCTATATTCCCAGCTCTTCTTTACTTTCGATTTTGAGACAGAGTCTTGCTAAATCCCTAAACTGCCAAGGTTGTGGTTGAACCTGTGGTCCTCCTGCCTCAGCCACCCTGAATCCTGGGATTACAGGTGTGCACCACTATGCCCACATAGCATTTTTAAAAATCAATGACTTCTTATCAGTTCTACTAATACTGGGAACAACTATATTAACAAACTATCTTTTTTTTCCCTGACAAAAAAATACAAAAATGGTTTTCCTCTTAAGGTAAAATGTTGATATCATCACCATTCAAATGTGAGGTCATTTTAGTGCATACCTAATGACATGCCTCTCAGCCAGAGGTCTAATAAAGATCTCCAAATGACCTACGACGCTAGCACTGAGTAAGGCTGAGGCAGAAGGATTACAAGATCAAGTTTCACCTCAGCAACTTACTTGAACACTATATTAAAGTATTAAAAGGGCTGAGGATGTAACTCAGTGGTACAGAGCCTCTGACTATGACTCCTAGTAACACACACACACATGCATACACACACACACACACACACACACACACACACACACACACAGTGTGTCTAAATGATGATGAGCCATTTCCAAACCTAGAAATTGTATGATTTTATTTTATCTTTATAATATCTGCCCAGATTTTTCTAGACCCTGATGTCAACTGATATATCAAGTCTGGCTAATCCCAGACGAGAGATGCTATGCCCAATAAGTCCACTTTAAAAAACAGTGCTGTTCTCAGAACAGCCTTGATTAAGATTCTCTGTGCCCAGCTGCCTTTACTTTAAGGTATTTCCATGGTTTATGGTCTAAAAGTAAGCTGATCACAGATTTGGATGGTGAAAAATATCTTACCTGGCTTTGATCCCAGTTCTCTCCCAGTCCCTGGGACTCAGCCTCATTCTCTACCACTGTCCCTACCAGTGGAGACCACAATCATCATGCTATTTCTACCTCTCCTAATTCTACCATTTTTCCCTCCAGGGCCCCTTGGGTGTCTCCTTCTGAAGCCTAGCCCTGTATCTTCACTCTTCCCACTTGACAATACCTCTGTAAACATGCCTATTTGAGCCTTTTCAGACACTAAGATGCCCACAATATCTTTCCTAGGGTCTTTCCATAATTTGGCTCTTCAAAAGCTATATGAACCAGGCACAGTGGCAGATGTCTGTAATCTCAGCTACTCAGAAGGCTGATTCAGGAGTCTGACATAGAGGATCACAAGTTCTAGGCCAGCATGGGTAACTTAGTGAGACTCTGTCTCAAAACAAAAAATAAAAAAGGCTAGGGGTGTACTTCAGTGGTACTGTCCCCTGGGTTCAACCTCTAGTATGGGAGAGACTATGAATGCTGAAGGACAGTACCATATACATTTTTACACACTCATGAAGCCAAGGCCAATATTTGCTGGTAAATATATTTTAGCTAACGGACTGAAGATTAACTTGCAATGTTAAAATATATACAAATCCATAGGGTTGATATAAATGATAAAGGGCTACCACTAGTCTATATGGCTCAATCACTAAATTTTGTACAAGGTACTTTCTGGGATACTGATAAGTTTCTATCTTTATCTGGCAGTGTATCATGAGTATATGTATAAGTATGGGTAGGTGAATACAGCCCATCAACTTGCATAGCCCACTTTACTTTATATATATCTCCATAAGTAAATGAATGAAAGATGTTTTCTTCTACTAGGTGCTGCCCATATCAGCTTACACAGTGAACCCAAAACAGAGTTCAGCCTGCTGTCAATATGGTACTCCTTAACAAAGACAGGCTATGTAACTGTATGCAAGGACCCATAGACCAAAACCCTTCCTTAAGGAACTCTCTGGTTCCCAAAGCAACCTATCATCCCAATGGACAATACCATGGTAGTGTCTCTGCTACTTATAGAATTCAAACCAGGCTGTGTAACTACCTCTTACAGAACCCAAGGCAGCACAGCATGAGGATGAGAAGTTAATTTAGTTTATGATGACAAGAGATAATATAGCAATAGGAACTGTCCTAGAACTTCAATTTTGTTCCCTTCTGGAGTTAGAAAAATGATCACCCTTTATCTCGCCCTTTATTGACTTCTATAACTACTCCACATTCTTGCTGGAAACAGATATGTCCCTGTGCCAATGTTCTTTCCCAAATGCCCACATGCCATGGGGCCTTTTCTCCATCACTGGACCAATCTGTTCAGCAGCATCTCAGAATACAACAAGCTAAATTTAGCATCAGGTACCTGAGATGCTCAGAGAGAAAGTAGAAACCATTCTGATGCCAAAGGAGAGGCAGATCATGCAACTGTCTGCTCATCTGAGGGGCCTTGCTAAATCCAGTCCGGAATCTTGGTGACAAAGAGCCAGCTGACCTGAGCCTGATAATCACAGGACTTCAGCACCACAGGCTCATGTGTAAGGCTTGTCCACAGCCAGGTGTGTGACTGCTAAATCCAGCAGGAGCCTATGGTTCCCCTCCTCGGGCAGTGGAATGCCATAGATGGGAGCAGAAATGAAACACTAAAAAGGAATATGAGCAGTGCCCGCCAGCCTCCTTCCTGCCCAAGTCTTTCCAAAATTTCATATGCCTGGCTCCAGAACATTAGATACACTACAAGCAGAGCAGTCTGTTTAGTTACCAAGAGAGAAATAGCAAATTTCCCATCTAGAGAGTGTTCAATAAGATGTTTTTCCATTCAGGTGTAAAAGCTTTCTTTGGAAGGAGATCAGTGAAGCCTGAACAAAGCTCCTTCAAGCTAAAACCCAAATGCAATTCAATGCACAGCAATGGATAGGGTTTGCAGCGATAAAGCATGTGCTATGTATGCAATGGCATTACCGTAATAACTAGTATAGAATGGACAAACCCCACTTCTAAAAGAGATGTGCACAGGTTGACTTGTGACAGGTTTCAGGGTATTAAAATCCTTTCATCAAGCTGGGTGTGGTGGAGCATGCTTGCAATCCCAGCATTTGGGAGGCTGAGGCAAGAGGATCACCAGG